GCCCTTTTCTGGGCTAACCTGAGGGCAGCTATTAACATTAACCTGCCATCCAGTGATGAAAATAGGTGTGGGGAAACAGATTAAGAATCTTTCTAATGGATTTTCTTTTGTTTTATCTTTGAGAAGCAATAAATATTTTTTTCCTTTTTGGTCAATGTATTTAACTTTTTGTTACCCAACCTTGTTTCTACCTGGTTGTCTGTGTTGCTTCCTACTTGTAGTCAAAATTCAGCTCACCTTATTGCAAATCTCTTGAGATAGCAAATCACAAATGAGTTTGAATGTGGATTTTACTCTATGGTAGTGAGTTTTTCCTCAGCACAATAAAAGTCTGGGGCACTTGGCATAGTCGTGTGGAAAATTGCTCGAGCTGATGGAGAGTTTGCAGAGCTGCTCTAATCACAAAGCTCAGACAACTTGGTCAAAGGACATCTTTTACTAAAATTAGTCTGCAAGAAAGAGAATTATGTATCCTGAAAAAAAAAGGAAAGATGAGCTACTTCACCTTTTGGAGCTCATAGCTTGGCACTGCAGCAAGGGAAAAGCAGTGAATTGACAATCAGAGCTCTAATCCTCATGCTCTGATAGAGTCCGTTTGGTACTATTTTGATCCTGAGAGATACCCTGACCCAAGGGACTGGGAGGGTATCTGCATTAACAGAACTGCCTTCCTCATCGTTATTCATGTTTTGAGAAACTCCTGACTTCTCTACATCATGCCTTTTTTTCCCAGCTTTCTTCTTTTTTTCTTTTCACCCATATATCTTACTTTATGCTTATTAAAAGAATCTGTCCTTTTCAGTTGAAACAGCTTTTGTAGCACAGCTGTGAGTTGTGATCAGAAAGGCAATAACCAGTCAGAGGCTGAAAAAATTTACCAGGTCTTGGGACTGCAGGTAAGACTTTATTAATGGAGTTAGAAACACAAACTACATTAGTGATATTTGCTTTCCTTTATAGAAATACAGCAGGTCCCTCTGCCCGTACTTGTGCTGTTTTGGCTTCAAGAAAGCGTAGCTGGGCTCAAGAAAACATTCACAACTGCTAAAGATGATAACAGCAAACTTCCTCTTTGCCCCAAGAAGGGAAGATCATTTGAAATACCACAGTTAGATGACCAGCAAGTAGGAAGTTTCCCTTCAAAAATGTGTTTCAACAAGAATATGAGAGAAGAAGGGGTGTTAAGAAATCCTCATTTAGTATAGAATGTTTGCATTTTATCTCATCCTTGTCTTCCATTATTATTAAAAAAGGTTTTGATTTTGATATTTCTTTTTGCATTAGGTCTAAGCAGGCTGAGATTTCTTGACTTGAAGTCTTGAGCTGTGAGTGACTGTTTATGACCTGTAGAGGAAAAGTCTAATTTATCACCTCTAGCTCTCACATCCCACTTAGCTTCAAAATTAGTATAACACCTATTACCAAATTGAAGCCACTTCATTCAGGAGTGTAGAAACAAATGTTTACTTTGCTTCCTCCTTCCCCTCCCACTCATGCCTCAGTGTATGACTCATTTAACCCTTCAAAAACTGAAGATAATCCGACTTAGCTCGGTTTGCCTATCCCTTTCACAGAAGCAGGGATAACTGGATCGTTATGTGGTGCCTCGCTTGAAAATTTTCTTTGAGAGCCTTAGACTTTTAAGTCAGTAGCCCTTGAAACTTAATACAATTAATATCCCCTGTTGTTTGTAACCTTAAGAACTCATCTGGCTTCTTCTGTTGGCTGGAGGACAAAGAAACTCCCTGAAAGTCAGAAAGTGCACCAGCAGTCCTTCCTCCAGAAGGACTTGAAGGTTTTAGCAAGGTTTGCTTGCCTCTTTGGAAAGAACTTGGGAAACTGACCTCTGGATGTTGGTGATGTGATGATAAGCAGAAATATATAATTACGGGTTTCTGGTATATGTCCAAAATCCTTGAGTGGAAAGAGTGGCTTGTAATAAGCATAGGCATCAATTAAAACTTATACTTTAGAACCAGAAGCCCACATACTATTAGCTTTTTTTTTCGTGATATGTGCCAAATAATTGATAAAACAGCTACATATGCAATGAATTATTGCATCTAGTTTCTCTGATTCCACAGGAGATGATTTTCTCAAATGATATATATCAGAATATTTCAAACAATTATTTTAGCCTCTGTCATACTCTCAAACCTTTCTATAAAACCAGTTTTAATCCACAAAGAAATTTTTCCTGTACTGAGACCATGTGTTGTCTCACATCACGTCAACCACTTTATCTGTTTTGGAAAGTAACTAACCTTTTCTGTGCAGCCTGGTGATGTGTTCCTGCAATTGGTTCTGCACTGAAATCTGGAACTGCTAATGCCCTCCACTTATCAGGAAAAGGGAGTGTGTAAATGTGTTCTGATGTCAGATACCATATCAGAGCAGATTCCTGGCATTTGACTAGTCATCTCAGTGACTAGCAGGAATGCTATTTTTATGTACATTAAAATATCAACATACAAACCCAATAGTATGGGGGTTAAATACTCTCCCAAACCTAAAAAAATGTGCAAAATGAAGTTGAAGTGTAAATGTTTTTATGTATATCTAGGTAGTGTATAGTACAAAGGAAACTAAACTGCAACAGACTGGGAGTCCTGACACAATGTGGATTGCCCTGATGACAGGTGGGCTCTTTTATGGCTTTAGAAATGTTACAAAACATCATCACTGAAGTTCAACTGCAGAGAGTTAGAGTAAGGAAAGGCACTCAAGGGAAAATAATGGGACTCTGTGGGAGATAAGGCATTCTGCTTAGGGGAAGGTTCAAAACCTCTGTGAAACCCATGTTTTTACTTAGGCCTTTGGTTTGTCTGGTTTTTCTTCTGGAAATATTTACTGGGATTGACTATACTGCTCATTTGTAGTCACTGTTTCATCAAGAGGAAGCAGTATTTATAAACCAATAAAGTGAGAAAGTTGTGTGTTCTTCAAGGTGGCTCTGTGTTGCCAGTTTCATTTCCACAGCTTTGAACCTTGTGTCTATTTATGCCAAAGTAAGATAGACTTGAGCATAAATGTGATACAGTCTCTGCTCACTTTGACTTGTAGTGGCATTTAGCCTTTGTTTCATCTACTTGACATACAGGGTTATTTGTGACAATGAGAGTTGCAGTTGAAGATAAGGTCCTCGGTATGAGCAAACACCGGCTTTGCAATTAACTTTTCATGAGTGCTTCAATGAGTTCGTCTGCTCTATGTTTTAGTTCCATGTCTTACACATGTAAGCTCACTTCTGCAGTTCTAGTTAGAGAGGTTCTTCACACCTTTGGCACAGTGCTGGTCCCGAATAGCTTCTGATACCTGGCCAAGTGTAGCTGTGGTTCCTGTCTGGGTAAGTAATGACCACACACAAGCAGAAGTGTGAAATGTGTTTTCGTGAAGACAGGTGCTCATTGGTAGAACAATCTGCAAAAAAACCCAGCAGTATAAAATTCAGAAATGGAACAAAGTATATGCATGAATGTACATGTACTGACTATGGAAAGAATGGTATTTATCTCATACTTTTCCAGATGCATGAACAGAAATACATTGCTTTTATTTTTTGCCTGTCATGCAAAATGACTGAATCAGTAAACTGAAAACAGCCCCAAACAAAACTTTGTTGAATTGGTTAGTAAAAATAACCATTATGCAATGTTCCTAATGGTTTAACAGAGGTATTCAGGAGTATCAGTTTTATTTTAAGTCATCGCAAATTTTTCTTCATGGCAAACTGTTTATTTGAGTGTATTTGAAAGTCTCATAAAGAAGAGTGGTAAAGAAATTAAACACACTATGACTAAAAGGTGCTTTTATAGCTATGTGTGCACTAGTGTCAATTCTGATGACAGTTGATGGTGTATTTGATTTTATCCATGCAGCAAAATTTTTTTTATGGATTATATTGGAAGTAAAACTGCCACTGTTCTGCATTATTGCGATATCGTTGTTCTGTCAACAAGTGCCTTAGTCTACTTATTTTCATGGATGAATGCCTAGAAATGGGAGCTTCTCTTTTAACTTTGAGTCAAGGCAGTATCAGCTGACAAGCAGACTCTTCCTGCTTATTAAGAAACATTAATGATCCCTGGTCTTGTCTCAGGTCACAGATGACCCAGACTTTTCTCTAACATATTACTCAATTTTCTGCACAGAGGAAACCAGAATAATTTTAGTTCAGTTCAGTTTTAGCCATCAGTCTCAAAGTGAAAAATAGCAATTTTCTTTCAGCAAACCAAAGGGTTAAATTATTTACAAAATTGAAAAGGTAACTGCAAAAGAAAATTTTCAAAGGAATCTAATGCAAGCTTGAAACGTAGCTAGCACTGCTATCTGGAATAAAGTTTTATGCTTTTCAGGTTCTTTAGCTGAATCTTTAGCTGTTGTGTTAGTTTGGAGGCTTATAGGAGTGAAAGTTGGTTTTGGTTATTGTCGTGTTTAATTTCAGCCCACAACTAAGTACCACGCTCACTTCCCTGCTGTCCCCCACCCCCAGTGGGGAGGAGAATCAGAAAAAAAGTAAAACTTGTGGGTTGAGATAAGAGCAGTTTAAGAATTAAAACAAAGTAAAATACAGTAATGATGATGATGATGATGATGATGATGACAATGAGAGAGAGAGAGGAATAAAATGCAGGAGAAACAAGTGATGTACAATACATCACCCACTGACCAATGCCCAGTCCATCTCTGAGCAATGATCAGCCCTCCTGGCCAACCCCCTCCCAATTTATATTCTGAGTGTGATATTCTATGTTACGGAATATCCCTTTGGTTGGTTCACATTGGCTGTCCTGGCCATGCTCCCTCTCGGCTTCTTGTGCACCTCTTTGCTGACACAGCGTGGGAAACTGGAAAGTCCATGTCTTAAAAATAAGAACTACCCAGCAAAAACTAAAACGTCAGTGTGTTATGAACATTGTTCTCACACTGAATGCAAAATAGTCTTGTACCAGCTATTAGGAAGAAAATTCACTCTATCCCAGCTAAAACCGGGACAGTTATTTACATCTACCTTTGCAACACACTCACTCTCTGCTCTGTTGATTTGTTCCCTGGGCTTGTGCCCCTGTTCAAAATTTTAAGTGAATGGCTGCTTTACTGGATTCCTTCATCCACCGATTGCCCTATATTGCTGTATTCTTAATGGCTTCATTACAGCTTTCTTATCATAGGGAATATTCTCTGTTAATTTTTTGTAATTTTTTGAGTGAAGCTACAATGTGGGATATCCTTGATATCTATCCCAGGCATTCCTAGTGTAAAGATAACTGACCTGTAAAGGTTTTTAGCTGTGTCAGTTTGCCCCTGTTACTAAGCTTTTGCTATTGTGTTACAATGTGTTACATTAATTACTCTGCTTGTGGAGCAAAAAAATTTGTCAGCGTAGGGCTCTGCAAGAGATCTTGATACAGAGAGAAGTTCACAGTGAGGGTTCCACTTCCTCTTTTCTGTGTGTGCAAAGAGGAGATGCAGTTGATGGGTTTCTAGAACATCTGTGTAACAACAGAAGCAGACTTGAAATTAGAAATGCAGAATTATTTAAATATTCTTGCCATGGGGAATATTCTGTACTGCAGATAGGTTTATTTTCTCCTAAACTGTACAGTTATGTAAATATTACAGAAGTAAATGTATTTTTAGTCTGAACTGTTAGAAGTTTCCTTTCTTTGTGCTCCTAATACCTGTGTTGTATGGAAATTTCATTAATTCTTAGAATTGTGTAGCCTGATTAAAAAATCCTGTTCTTTCTGTGTCCTGAGGTAATAATTATTAAGAAATTAGCATCTCATGTGAGATTCCCCATCTTGAAGATTACGTATGTTTGAAATTCAATTTGAGGATATTAACTGACTATGCAGAGGACTTTTACTGGTTCTTCAACTTGGAGATGAATTCCATGCACTAAAGGTGGGTTATAATTGCTCCATTATTCATAATTTTTTCTCTTTGTTATATTTATCTTGGACTTCATCAAATCTCAGGTGCTAGTATTGCTTCAGTGTTGGAAGACAATCTTGCATGTGAAAATTTCAGTGAAAATGCTCATCCGTATGTTGAATTTCAGTGAAGGGGAAAGGGTGAAAATCATTTGGTGTGGCAATTTTAATTCTCAGCCAACTCTAATTTAATACCATTCTAAAACAGCATTGGAGGGGTAACTGTTGATCCTTAATATTGCTTTGCTAGGTGTATTTGCTTTACTCTCTGACTGTGGCAATCTTCAGTGCTATACACTGTGTCTCGTCCCTTGTTGTAGCATGTAGCATAGCATGTACAATAAATTAAAACTCATTGGCAATGGAGCATGGACAGAGAATATATTTCTGTTTTTTTCTCCCTTCAAAACATTTCTTGCTTTATTCCTGACATCCCTTTTGATCAGGCGGAAATTCCTCCGGACAGTTCCAGATCAACGTTTATTTGATTCAAGAGTTAGATTGTTTACCAGCCTGGACTCTGAAGAACAGTGTCAACTGCTCTTTGAAGGATGCTGGGTCAGATTTCCTTGTCTTGTTTGCTCTTGTGAGTGGTACTATACTTTGACCAAACATCCCAGCTTCATTTCTATTGTGCCCTCAGACACCCCAGCACAACTTTCTGAAGGCCTAATTTGACCAGTCTATTAGATTTAATTGAGGTAGAAATTTATATTTTACTGATTTACTCTTTTATTGCTTTTGGTGATGTTAATTGCATATATTTTTGCTTTACTTGACTAAAAGAAAACTTGATTAAACCTGGTAGGTTAGTCCTTAATGAAATTATTAAGGACTAACACACAATATAACCTTGAACTGAAAAAGTAGGGTTTTGGGGGTTATTTAACGAAAGATTACACAGGGACAGAATTTTAAAACTGAAACAGACTGTTTCTGGGAATCACTGCTTCATATGTAGTGTCCAGTCATGGTGTGGTTTTCCCATTAGTGTGCTTTTGGTCAGACTAGCGTTACAATATTCATGGGTGTGGTGAGTTGACCCTGACTGGACTCCACATGTTCCCCCAAGCCACTTTGTCACTCTCCTCAACTGGACAGGAAGAAAATATAATGAAGGTTTGTGGGCAAGATAAGGACAGTGAGCGATCACTTGCACATTACTGTTACAGGCAAACCAGACTCAATCTCCAGAAATTATTTCAATTTATTACAATTAAATCAGAATACAGTAATGAGAAATAAAACCAAATCTCTCAAAACACCTTCCTCCCACCCCTCCCTTCTTCCCTGGGCTCAGCTTCACTCCCAGTTTCTCTGTTTCCTCTCCCAAAGGCACAGCAGGGCAGCGAATAAGGGTTGTGATCAGTTCATCACATATTATTTCTACTGCTTCTTCCCCCTCACTCTCTTCCCCTTTTTCCAATGTGAGGTCCCTCCTATGGGACAGTTCTCTAATGTGAGTCCTTCCCACAAGCTGCAGTTGTTCAAGAACTCTTCAGCGTGGATCGCTTCCATGGGATACACTCCTCCAGGGAACAGACTGCTCCAATGTGGGTCTCCCATGGGGTCACAAGTCCTACTAGTAAACCTTTTCCAGTGTGAGCTCCTCTCTCTGTGGGTCCACAGGTCCTGCTAGGAACCTGCTCTAACAGAGGGTTTCCATGAGGTCACAGCCTCTTTCAGGCATACACCTGCTCCATCATGGACATCCATGGGCTGGTGAGGCCTGCCTCACCATGACCTTCACACAGGCTGTAGGGGAATCTCAGCTCCAGCACTTGAAGCACCTCCTCCCCCTCCTTTGGCACTGACCTTGGTGTCTGCAGAGTTGTTTCTCTCATAAATTCTCACTTCTCTCTCTGAGCTGCATTTGTTGTTGTCCAGGGTTTTTTTCCCCCGTCTGAATTATGTTATCCCAGAAGCACTACTACCATTGCTGATGGGCTCAGCCTTGGATCTGGCCGGCACTGGCTCTATCAAATACAGAGAAAGCTTCTGGCAGCTTCTCACAGAAGCCACTCCTGTAGTCTCCCACTAACAAAACTTCACCACATAAGCCCAATACAATGAACCGTATAATTTCTCCTCAGCATTCTTGGCTTACTGGAAAAATGGACCCCGATGTCTTTGTGCTATTGCACAGACAAAGCTGATCAGCTGACCTGAGGGGGTGTATGGCCATGTCCAGGGTCTTTGAGGTGTGAAGAGGAATATCCTTTGGCTCTTCTGACTGAAGAGGTTGTTTTTGCACCAGTTCCTTTGAGGGTGGTTCTATTGAAGTTCTGTTCTGAAACGTGTGTGAGCTTGGGATGGACACAAAGAGCAGATGGGGGCCTTGTTCTGTTCTCCTTTATTCCTAAATGCATGTTCTACTTGTGCCAGTTTTGCACTTTTCAAGATTTTTGAGAAAGTTATATTTCTTTACATTTATGTGTTTTTAGCATACCAGTGATCATATTCCTCCCATTATAAAGGAATTAATTTATATTTAACTGAGAAAAACAATAACTGGGATTAGAGAATGGGGGAGGGGTGAGAACAATTGATAAGAATTTAGAACAAGAGTATGTAAAAATATTTTTTAATTTTATATTGAATCTTATTTTAGCAATAAAAAAACCAAATTCAACCATTCAACAATTTCATCAAATTCCATGTGTTTTCTTTTCTTAGGGGTGGACTCAACGGTGAGACATATTGAACAGAAAACAACCAAATGGTTCTGTGTTTCTGTAAAAACACAAGATAAAGCTGGATAGCATAATGAGACCCCTCACAAATACCTATGTCTTTGTTTGTGCCTTTACATTCACACTATGGAATAATATCCAGCCAACTGTGGAAAATGAATTTATTGCAAATTACTCAAGCAGATTGCTAACTAATGTTCCAAAAAACATTCCAGTACATACTCAAGTATTAGATTTATCACATAATAGGATCTCTGGAATTAGTATCTCAGAATTTATTTCTCTTTCTGACCTTCAAGTATTAAATCTTTCTCATAATCTAGTTACGGTGCTTGACTTCAGTGTCTTTGTTTTTAATGAAAATTTAGAATACTTAGATTTATCTCATAATAACATTTTGAAAGTTTGCTGTCTAACTCTTGCCTGTCTTAGACATTTAGATCTTTCTTACAATAAGTTTACTGCCTTGCCTATCTGTCAGGAATTTGAGAACATGTTTCGTTTGGAGTACCTAGGATTAAGTGCCATGATGATAAGAAGGTCAGACTTCAGGTATATCAAACATTTGCAGCTGCACACTGTCTTCCTGACCTTGAAAAACTTTTCTCTGTATGAGCCTCAGAGTCTGACAGCCTTGAATACAAGGAGCCTCCACATTGATTTTGCAGCAAACCAAAACTTCAGTTCTTCCCTCTTGTACGATGGAATGAGTACTTCAGAGAATTTAAAAATAGTTAACTTAATATATACCTTGAGCTATAAATATTTCCCCTCTCCTCCTTTAATGCTTCTGAAGAAAATCAAGACAACAGCTCTCATTCTTGACACTGTGGATGTACAATGGCCTATCATTATGCAAATTTTCCTGCTTATTTGGTATTCACCTGTGGAGCATTTGACTGTGAGAAATTTGACTTTTCGGGGACCACTGGGGGAGCTGACTAAATATGAGTTTCTACCCTTGTTAAGTTCTCTGGAACAGTTAATCTCTTTGGATGGCTCCATGAAAGCATTAACTTTGGAGCACGTTCGTAATAAGCTTTATTATTTCAACCAGGAGGTTCTATACAGACAGTTTTCAGAGATGAATATTGCCAGTTTGACAATATATGATGCATATATGCCACACATGCTTTGCCCCAATAGAACAAGCTCATTTCAGTACTTAAATTTTTCTCACAATGCCCTGACGGATGAGTTGTTCCAGAATTGTGGCACTTTGATAGATCTGAAATTACTTATTTTGCAATGGAATAAATTTGAGAGCCTTCTCAAGGTAAGCTTCATGAC